AGATCTGGGCGGCAATGCCGTAGGATTTAAGAGTCGCAAACCCCGTCGGGGTGTAAGCACCGAAGGATTTGCCATCGGATATTACGGCGTTATCACCGTGCCCTAATCCGAGATGCCGTTGGACTTCTTGGCGAGATTGGTATATAGATCCCTGGCCAGGAACAGCGGTCTGTCCATTATATCTGCACATGTATTCTCTTGTAAATAGGTACTGGAGATATTCTAAGTTCTACACTGTCAACGATTGACTCACCACAATGGCCCCAACCAATACCGCAGCCTGGATCAAGTCCGAAAAGGCCTACCCTCTGGAAATTGACAGCGCTCCATACACCCATCCCGGCGAGAACGAACTCGTAATCAAGAACCACTGCATCGGGCTCAACCTGGTCGACTATGCCCGTCAAGACCTTGGCTCCGCCCTCTTCGCTTGGACACCCTATCCCGCTATCATGGGCAGCGACGTCGCCGGCGAGGTAGTGGAAGTCGGACCAGGCCCTGTTTCCTCCCGATTCAAGACCGGAGACCGCGTCCTCGGTCTAACAGGTGAACTGAAAAGCACGCGTTCCTCCAAAGGTGCCTTCCAGAACTACGTTGTGCTCCACGCACACATGACCTCCCCCATCCCATCCGATCTATCCTACGCCGACGCGGCCGGAATCCCCCTCGGAATATCAACCGCCGCATGTGGCCTCTTCCAGAAAGACTACCTCGCGCTGCAGCATCCCACTCCCCCCCGAGCCCCATCAACAGGCCAAACCGTCCTCATCTGGAGCGGATCATCCAGCGTCGGCAGCAACGCTATCCAACTTGCCGTGGCGGCGGGGTATGAAGTGATTACGACGGCTTCGCCGCGGAACTACGACTTTGTCAAATCTCTTGGTGCGAGCCACGTCTTTGACTACAAGTCGGAGACCGTAGTCGAGGATATCATTGCTGCATTTAGGGGGAAGTCTAGTGCTGGTGCATTGGCTATTGGGCCGGAGTCACCTGAAAAGTGTGGTCAGATTGTGGCGAGGGTCGAAGGGAAGAAGTTTGTTGCGTTGGTGAGTCCGCCGTCTGGACCGCTGGCAGATGGGGTCGAGTCGAAGTTCGTTTTTGGTGGTGATTTGGCTGAGAATGAGGTTGGGCCTGCTATCTTTGTGGATTTCTTGCCGGCCGCGTTGAAGGAGGGGAGCTTTGTTAGTGCGCCTAAGGTGGAGGTGGTGGGTGAGGGATTGGAGTCATTGCAGGGGTCGTTGGATATTTTGAAGAAGGGCGTTTCGGCGAAGAAGTTGGTTGTTTCGTTGTAAATAGGTGCGTGATGATTATTGGTTTGGCTTTGTGATTAACGATTGTCTTGTTTTAGCGGAATTTAGACATTGTCAATGCGTTGTTTTGTATTAATACTATTTATCGAGGCTAAGCGGCGCACCAGTTATCAAAAAGCGAGATCAAGTAGGCCTGTTATAGGTGTGGAATGTTTTGGAGATGACATGAAACCATGATGTTTTATCTGAGGCATAATCAGAATCATATACTTGACTAATATCAATTTGTGTGGATATCGTTATGAGCGGGGTGTCAGAGCGTTGCTGGTTTGATAACCTGAACATCATATCAATGAAATAATGTAATTGTTCAAATACTTTAAATAAGTAAAGACCCCGAGGAATGTGATGTTTAAGGTCACGCTTTGATATTTTCCACGAAATACATACTCGGCCCGATAGCCAGGGAAGGGGCCTAAACTGAATAAAGCTTTTCATGGACCGGTACATTTCGTATTCGCTAAGACGATACTGAACCGGATACAGAGTGCAGCCACACCATCTTCTCATCGTTTCACTCGTTGATCGTGCTCGCTCTGTCGTTCATAGACCACTTATTTCATCAACGGTATTGTGCATGGCGATGCTTGGAGAGCCCGGGATCGGAGAGACACAGAAATGCCGGGAAGCGGGACCGGGGGCGGATCCTCGGTGGAACCTAAATCCGTAGACACAATCCTGCCTCAGGATGAATGCAAGACATGTGATTGGCCCGTGATGGCGTATGAGTCAAGGCCGGAAAACTCCCCGGGGGACCAGCGATCGCCATCATCTTGCCGTTTCCCGCGCTTTTTTTTCCTTTTAACTTTCCCTCCTGTTCATTTGTGTGTCTACTGCTTCATCTTGCTTCTCTCCCTCTCTCATAGTTCTTAAACTTCGTCCTGCTACTTGTCCTGCATCCATACGTCCGTTAACCACACGCGTCCGTCCAGTATGGTCGCCCAAGCTGCCGCCCCCGGGCAATTCCGTCAGTTTCCCCCTCTACCCCTCCCCCGCCTTTCCGAAGTGAACAGCTACTAAATCCCGTAGAGAGGGCTGATTCCCAACCCGAAAACCCTTATTCGGCTCTCATCACCGATCAATCGATCGTCATCATCCCTTCTTTCACCCTTGAGTCTGGTGTTACCTTGCACAACGTTCCCGTGGCCTACACGACGAGAGGTCAACTCTCCCCCGAACGTGACAATGCATTGGTGATCTGTCATGCTCTCAGTGGTAGTGCGGATGTCGCGGACTGGTGGGGTCCCCTGCTTGGTGGCCCCGGTCAAGCTTTCGATACATCGCGCTTCTTCGTCGTCTGCTTGAACAGTCTGGGTAGTCCGTACGGAAGTGCTAGCGCTGTGACCTACAAGGATGGCGATCCGTCCAAGGGCTTGTACGGTCCTGAGTTCCCTCTCACTACCGTCCGTGATGATGTAAAGTGAGTTTTCTTCTCATGCTTTATGGTGTAATAGCGTGCTAACAACGCATAGGATTCACAAGATGGTACTGGATGACATGGGCATCCGTCAAATTGCAGCCGTGGTGGGTGGCTCCATGGGTGGTATGCTTACTCTTGAGTACGCCTACTTTGGCAAGGACTATGTTCGCGCAATCGTTCCGATCGCCACCTCTCCTCGTCATTCGGCATGGTGTATCAGCTGGGGTGAAGCACAACGGCAAAGCATCTACAGCGATCCCAAGTATGAGGATGGCTACTACCCGTTTGACGATCCCCCGGCCACCGGTCTGGGTGCGGCGCGCATGTCCGCCCTCCTCACCTACCGTAGCCGCAACTCTTTCGAGTCTCGCTTTGGCAGAAACGTGCCCGATCCCTCCAAGCGGCAGACCATCAATGGCCAGGAAAGGTCGCCCACTCCCCCGAACGAGCACTGGGCTATCCACAACGACGGACACAAGAGTGGGCGCAGCTCGCCCGGGCCGCATTCCGACGCCCAACACTCTGAAGTTCAGTTCCAAGACCCTCAGTTCTCCGGTGCCAAAACCTTCAGCAAGACCATTGAGACCAACGGTTCCCAGAAGCGGCTCCCCACCTATTTCTCTGCTCAGTCGTACCTTCGGTACCAGGGCGAGAAGTTCGTGAAGCGTTTCGATGCCAACTGCTACATCGCCATCACCCGCAAGTTGGATACGCACGATGTGTCCCGACACCGGGCCAGTCCTTCCGCGGAGAATCCCGTTCGGGAAGCCCTGTCTCAGATTGAGCAGCCTGCTCTGGTTCTAGGTATCGAATCCGATGGACTGTTCACTTTCGATGAACAGAAGGAGATCGCTGCTGGCATCCCGGACTCCCGCCTGAAGCGGATCGAGAGTCCTGAAGGCCACGATGCCTTCCTCCTCCAGTTTGAACAGGTCAACCGCTACATCCTCGAGTTCTTCCGCGAAGTCCTGCCGGACATCATGTCCAAGGCACCCGCCGAAGGAGTCGAGGCTGTGGACGGAGTCAACAAGCTAACCAAGAGCAGCACCTTCGGCGAAGCGGAAGTGGAAGATATCACCGCGTGGTAAACTGACCCCCAGAGTCCTATTAGATGTGGCGCATTAGTTGCAGCCTTTTATACTGCCTGATGTACCGCGTGGGCATGCCCCGGCCTTTCTCTCGGCCAGAGAGGACGCGCCGGCGGCTTCGGACCCCGCCAGGCTCAGGCGCCTTGGGGAAGTAGCGGTGCGGTCTTGTGATTTATTATTCTTAGCCAGTCAGAGAGATGAGCATCCAACTGCCTCTCTCGTTTCCTCTACACAGGTAAGGCTGTAAAAGAAGCATCCAACTGCTCTCCATCAGATAAGCCCTCACCGAGTGTTCTTTGCACAGGTCAAGACACCGAGGGTGGTGGGCGACCTTCATAAGAAAAGTGTTCGATCGTACATAGATTCGTTATGGTAATAGAATTTTTGTCACCATTTCTTCTATTGTCATAGCACTGGCCACCCGTTAGATACGGTGCCTGGCGGTGTGGCCTTGTAATTAAGGTCTCGTATTCAAACACTGATAATCTTGCAAACACAACTCTGAATTCGAACCACATGACACCACCATCACCCCCTCTCTCATTCTCGCAAAGATCCGCCTCTTCTATCCGGTTCGATTCTCAACCCGCCCAGCAACCCACTGTTGCACCAGGAACCAACACCAACACCAACACCAGCTGCAGCTCTGCTCGGCATATGATACCCGCCGTCGGGCCTCACCTGAATGCCCTCCTGAGGTCATTGCGGAGAACCACCAGACAGAGAATATGACGTGGTCGGCGCAGCGAAAACGCCATGGATTTGAATATGCTTTCGGGAATTAATTACAAGGCAGAGAGAGGAGCTGGGCTGCTGCTTGCAGGAATTGAAGCGAAATGCGGAGTGCAGATGGGGAAAGTCTGCGTGCAAAACTCTGAAGCCGGTTATTAGACTAGGTTCGAAGTCGAAGACGGGTAGAGGCGGGTTGGAGATGTGATGTATCATTTTGACCTGCGCTTTGGCGCTGCTGTGCGTGTGTGCTTGTATTATACAGTACGGGGTTGGCTTGCAGGATGGAAGGGTAATGTGCCATCATTATTTTCCTTTTCTTGAGGTTTATTCTCCCAACGGGTTTTTTACAGTAAGGTATTTCTACTCCGTATTAGGATTCATGTGTGTTCGAATAGCACCAACCTTTGCATTCCCACTCATGAGATATCGAAGTAATCTTGAGAGGGCATGCATGGCTTCAAGTCAGTCTTTCCTCAGAGATAAATTATAGCCTCTCGAGATCTCAAGTGGAATACTTCGTTCTCTGAACAACCCTTGGAATGTACCTGGACCATCTGAGTTGTCGTGAACAGCCCACGTGAAATATAGATACAAGACCCATAGAGACCAAGAGTAAATTCTTCCTGGTCTTGATGGTCTAGGCTGATATTTGCAGCAAGCTGTCCCAGCATGATACTCAAATTTTCGGCTACAAAGTCATGGGAGGTCTGCCCTTCAAGCCACTTCGTAGATGTTAGGATTGTGGCCATCAAGAGGCGGGGAATATACATATAAAAGGTAATAAGCTGCCAGGGGTTCAATACATTCACTTAGATAAGAGATTATCGGTACAGACCGTCCTTGTGACTCGACTACAACTGCACCCTCGGGTCTCGAAGCATATCGTTTACCGCCAATCACGTACCTTTTCTTAAGATTGGATATAGGAACGCTAGTTCAAGGCACTTAGAACAAAGTCAAAAGATACAAATATAGGGAAAAAAGCTTACTGAAGTTCCGGGCGATTCTCCGCAAGGTCTTCGAGATTATCATATGTAGTCTGCATCAAAACCTTCAACATCATACCCTGGGATTGGAGAAACTGCGGTGCTCTTCCGGGTGTTTCCCAGTTTTGCCTCGGTAGTGTGACTTTCTCGTCCGGTTTCAGAAATAATGGAATTTGCACTGGGTCAAGTTCGTTTAATACAGCACGGTAACAGGAAAAGTAGTAGAAAAAGTCCTTGAACTCCGAGTCTTCTTTCGGCCAAAAGCGAGTGCAGTTAGGTTTTGCGATATCATGATGTTTGAATACCCAAGGGATCAGCCTTTCCACATCGCTGCTGTCTGTAATCAGTTAAGTTGTTAGTACATTGATGAAGTATCAGGAAGAGCTATATACTTTGGCATTTGAGGTCCGCGTTGGTAGGAATCAGTCCATCAATATCAGTAACTTCTGAGTATATTGTTGCAGATATTTTGCTGAAGAATTGAAGGATGGATGCCAGCTATGGCAGTCCATGCTAGGAAGTGTCAGTGAAGACACACGTAGTAGTAGTAAGTAGTCAAGTGATATGATGTCACATGATCGCTTCGTCTTGTTGATTGGTCAAGCCAACCCGCGACCGTCAAACTATAGCAACAGCGAATCAATCATTGGAGTCAAATTTATAGCATCAGTGCAAGGGCTTATTCAGTATCAGATACAGTAACTATTTCCTGACTCCGCCGCGTGAGCCCTGGCAAGCATTGATGTAAGCGCTGCTGACATTGACAAGAGAACTAACTGCGCTTGGCCTGATATGAAAATCAACTTGAGGCCTCTCGAAGGTGACACCGTCGCGGACACGCCAGGAAATTGAACACATCAACGGCCAAAGTATGCTGCCTTTGCAATGTCAGCCTGAGTGACTTTGTATCATACTTTGGGTCAACATTGTGGAGATGTCATAGAGCTTCTGGGACTTGAGTTACGGGCGAATGGGTCAATGTGGTATTCCTTGAGTCCGGGATACTGATTTCGTCTCATGCCATGATATCGATCATATTCAGGGTCCGACAGCGTCTTCGCATGGCTGCCGTATGACGGTGGTGGTAACTTAAGTACAGAACAGGGCGTGTCGATCGACTCTTCCCACCAGGAAAGGCAGCGGAGAACTGCCTATCAGAAGTGGCTGCAGTCCCGCCAGGATTGCCTGTATGTGATGGATCTCATTCTTGCTACCCGATCAGTCATTCCACGGAAACATCGTACAGCCCCTTGATTCATCCCTTCTTTCCACTCCAACGGCCCCTTGCGAGACCGTTGGACAAGGGAAGTCTTCCGTTTGGTGCAACAGCCATGCTGTCACACTCAGTTGATTCGTGTGAGACTCTTTACCCTCGCATTGGGAGATGACTTGGTTTGTTCAGACCTCGAGTCTGATGGGGATAACAACCCACAGCTTCTCTGGACGCTCTGATCAGCACTGGCTACCATTAGAAATGGAAAAGTGCGGCCATCATCATCTCAGACGCATCGATCACTGCATGGTCTGCTTTGCTACCCCTCCTTGGCCGGTTTCACCCCTAGCGAATGGTAGCCGGACTGGCTGCATCATCGACAATAGTGCACTGCAAGATTAAGTCCGAGGCCACTACGAGGCAATCAGACGGCCAGATTTTCAGGCCTGCAGTAGCCCCGTGATGCCGTGTGACAGAGGCTTGCTTTCTGCAGGGCCTCCTCTTTTCCTTCCTGCTTTCTCTTCCTTGGATGACGGCCTCATCGCACCAACCACACTCGTTCCTTTTGCTCTCTAGTGTTCTCGTCCATGATATTTCATTCTTTGGTCCCTCGTTGAGACAGCCTGTGTCCCCAGCGCCGCGGTTGCATTATATTTACTCCTTGCGATTGAATATTGGAGGTGGTGTACCTAGCAGATGGACTGGTCCATTGCTCCTGAGTCACCTTGTCACCTCTCGTCTCTCATAATTTCTGGTGGCTTTTCTTCCCCTGACCTTCAAATCGGTCCTCACCCCTCCTTTCCTTGATTTCGACAGCATTCCTCGAATCGCTCCCCACATTCCATCCCAGAAGTTCCTGGAGAGCACATGCCTCTTCGAGCTATTCTTTAGCTGAGGAATTGATCTGGGCTGACCTTGAGTATCGCCGATTTTGGTCCGTTTCCTTGGGACTGGTAGCCCAGCGACCGGATTTGTTTCCTTTTTATCGCTACTCTCCATATCACGAGTCGATTGTCGACGCACCATTGCGTTCTCCTACATTGGCTGGCGTCGCCACAGTCTTCCCTGCAGTCTATCCAGCTGATCCCTTTCCGGACCGACGCCTCTTGTTTCGTCATATTTGCAAACATCAGCCACGATGGAGTTCAGCACGAAGCGACGCACCTCCTTTTCTTTTCTGTTTGGGTCACAAGTGTGTATTACCTCAGATTACCTCACGGTCGCCGCCTAATGTGAAGCTAGAAACCAACTTTGATAACCCAGCAAAACCAACTTACGCTGAACCAGCTTGCCCATAACCAACCCACCCGTTACGTGGAAGGTGTTGATAGCCCTGGCACCTATCAGCCATCATCGCCGTTAATCGACCGACCGAACATCCCTACCGACATAGAAGCGCAGATTAGAAATGCCTGTTCATTGCTCGTACACAGGATCGAGAAAGGCCAGCCGTCGGGGCCCAGCAAGCGCTCTCGCGCGGTCACAACTAATACGACGATGCACGAACCGTCCACGGCGCCTCAAATTGACTCCATGTATGTGTCTCCCAAAGTGGGAGCCGATGTGGCAGCCCTGAAGGACAAGTACGATTCCGGGATCGCCTTGACCCAGCAGTCCAGTATGCAGGCTATGAGGGTTCTCCGTTCCCAAACCAGCCAACACCTCAAATGCGATAGTCTCAAATCGGGACGAGCGACATCCTCCCACTCAGCACTCGCTAGCGATGGAACGCAGTCCTCGAGTGCCCCGCCTAGCCGAGCAGGATATGGTAGCCAAGCAATGGGCTCGGGAAAGGAGAGTAGGGATAGGAGTCAGAGTGTCAAGGCCTTCCTCGACGGGTCTGAGTCCGAACCTCACTCGAATAAGGATGGCAATCATGTAGACGTTGTTAGCGAAGATGATGTTGAAGTCTTTCTGGACCCCGAGACTACACTCATGTCCACCGGAGTCCCTAGCTTTCATTCACCCCATTCAGTCCCCAGCAATATCACACCAGGTCTCGGAAAGCCTGTGGAATCATCATCGAACAGCCACGGTGAAGTCGCTGATTCGGAAGCCCCAACCATCCATCCTCCAGAGTACACCGATCCGCTGGACCTGGGCTCTTCCACTGTTGAAGCAAGCAAACAACACCCCGGGATCATCATCGACAGCAGTGGCCTAGCGCACATCCTCACCGCCGCAGAAGAAAGCGAACGCGACATGAACATTCAGCAGGCGGTGATGGCTAAGATGAGAACGGGCACCATTGCTAATGCCAGCACGCCACACCTCCCAGTCTACCCCGAGTCGACGGACAATGTTTCCAATCTTCGCCCCGGGTCTAACGCCTCGAGACTGAAAACCTCCTGGTCAACAATGAGCAAGGCAACGAGCCGGAAGCTCAGATCTCGAGGAACTGAGGACGTGCCCACCAATGAGAAAACAGTCTTCAGCAGACTGAAGAGCTTTTTCTCGAAGCGCAAACCCGTGAACGTTGTCCCGCCGGTAGGCACCTATTGATGATATAGATAGGACAGATACTTCTTGGCCCTGGATGGCTTTATTTACACATAATTGTTACGACTTTCGGTGACAATACGACATTATCCTTTTACAATCACTATCCTGATTCAAGATTTAGAGAGAGATCCGGTGTTGCTGTGTAGCATCGCTCACCCTCACATTCCTGACATATATCTACAAAATTCTCATACTTATCCATATTAGACCTGTCTGTTCCTCCAGTCAGCGCCTTGGCATTTGGTTTCGGTGACATGTATCTAGACCATGCAATTAATTAGCCTTATGCATAATAGCCATACCATCACCTGTCAATCAATCATATGCAGCCTTATTCCTATAGAAATCCTGTTACTAATGAATTGAAACCTCCAAGCGAGCTAGGCAATTGACATGTGATGTATCCTTTTTTCTTTCCCAAAGTACGAAGCAACTCTATATGATCCACCCAAGCCGGAAGATATCTAGTTATAATTGTAAATAATTGATAATATTCGAATAACATACATGAGACTCAACGTCTTCCCTACTGTAATCAAGTAAGTACTCCATAACTAAACGAGAATACTCATTGCTCATAAATGCATAACATGACTAGTAATACATCCGTTTCACAGGGCTGAGACCTTACGCACTGCTTCATTCACGTCAATATATATTAGGTAGGTAAGCTTAGCCCACCACTCATCTAGTACTATACTACATGGTAATCCAGCAGGTATTGGTATCACATCTTTATGATCATATCAACATGGAAATCGCTCATACATCCCTCCCCATGATTCACCGTACAGTAAACCTCCCGCCAGACGAGCAAACCACGAGTGTTAGCTTGTGAGCTTGTGGCCTTGTATTGTATTTTTCTCATGGGCAAGTCCACGGTTCAAAGAAGGAATATCATATATTTATTACATATGTATGGAAATCCATACTCTTCTTCCCTCTGTCCGTAGTCATTGGCCAGGACTCGGCCTGCAGGTATTCGCCTTTAAGTATGGTTGTTACTGCAAATACTTGCCATGGCTTTAACACTAGCGGATGAAACAAGGATCATAGGCATTCAATCAATCGAGGGAGGTATTCAAGCGGCTCTCGCGATCTATGGTGAGGGAGCCCTGATTTGACGGATTATGTCTGTTGCCTCGGGACTAAGGAGAAACTCTGGCATCTGTAGTTCTGTGACTATCTGTTGTTCATTATGGGGATGAAGTAAATATGTGGGAGAGGAGTAGAAGAGCACTACCGAAAACAGAGAGACCAGCAGAGAATGTCGCATCTGAAGGATAGAATTTCGGGAACGAGTTTGGCGGTTGCGCCTTCAAATCCATGCTGATGCGCAGCATATAATCCCGCCTTATTGAGACCCACCTGGCCTTGACTAGTGGCCTTGATGTGCAGGTGTTTTCTGCGCTCCAAAGAGGATGCATGTACATACAAAACGTCAAATAATCACAAAACACAATGTTTTACCCTGCCTTCCCGGGTCTTCCAACATCTTTACCACGTTCTTCTCTTCTACTGTCCTCCTCTCTCTCTCCATCTCACTCCACTCTTCCTTCCATTTCACATGCCCTTTCACATCAATCCACCTCCCCTTATCGCCTTTCCTTCTTCCACCCAACCTTGATTCCTCCCATTTTTAAGCCATCATCCTGAGCCCACAAAGACAATGACACCGAGTCACTCTTTCGGAGGTTCTGTTGCCAGGCGAAGTCAGTACGAATTTAATAATAGATAATAATCCCATTTTTTCAGCTCACTCAACTCCTCTCGCTCTCTTCCCTCTCTCTACCATCCAACGTCCCCCTGAACGTCCTTAGAAATCTCGTTTTATCGTATTCGTCAAGGCGACATAAAAAGACGGACAATGTCCTATAACGAAGGTTTGTGTATATCAAGAACAAAGGGCCCCTTCCATCCCACAGTTTGATACCATATACGCCGAGTACCGTTGGCTAATTCGCCAAGTCGATATGAAAGGATGAAACAATATCCTACAGCAAAAGTCAGTATATATAAGAGACATAGAGTGCGTTCGCCTCACAGGGTAATGTCGTCCTCACTGAGTTTTTCCAGATCTAACTGGTCAAGGCGATATAAGAGATGAAATGATATCCTATAGCAACGGTCAGTATCTAGTATCAGAAACAAAGGGGCCCTTTCACCTCACAGGTTGATGCCGTATACGCTGAGATTCGGTAAACTCGTCAGGTCGATGCGGTTAGTCCTAGACAAACGGCCAGCATTAATCGAAAAGAAGGGACCCTCTCACCCGCCCGCCACACCCACCCTTTAACCCATTCGAACCCCCTCTTCACTCCCCTATCCTCCTCTTCTTCTTCCGGCTCCCAACTTCACCTCAACAACGCCCACCCTGTCCTCACCGCCCACCTCTTCCTCATTCTGACCCATTTCCACGTCACGCCTCCATGATGGGGGCATTGCACGTAGCTTCCTGATGTGGTGGCGCTTGATCGATAGCTCCAGATGGAGCCTCACCGCAAAGGAAGCGACGCTGCAAATCATGACCATGAAGAACGCAAGGAACAGCCACCAAGCGTGGCTGGGGTCCAATTCCTGCCAAAACGAGAGTGTGGCGTCGGCATCTAATGCCTCTGCCATAATAACTATCTAAGAAAGAAAGACAAAAAGCTATCTCAAAGTGAATGTGGGGGTAATGAACGAGTGGATAAAAGTGGATATCGCAAAGAGGGACTTAATGCTGTGTGAAACGAGCGTTGTCAAACGAGTGACTGATTTCAAGAAGAAGAAGAGAGAAGAGAAGAAAAGAGAGGGGATTCGAAGTCTAAGAAGATGTTTTGGCTGCCGTCGAGCAAGTCATTGATATTAGAGGAAGGTACGGTCTGTAAATGGAAAGCACCTATGATACTACCCAAGTACCTGCCAACCTAGCGACACAGAGTCAGCAGGGAAGGCACGCAAAGCAGAAGGGAAAGGTATGTTAGAATACGTCACATAATAAACTTACTGTTGTATGACTGCGCTTTACTTTGCTGTGCTGTTTAGCTGTGATCAGCTATGGCGACGACCTTCCGACGTCGTAGCGTGCGCTCTTCGTGGTTTACATGTGTCTACAGCGAGTTTGAGAAACTCGACGGCGTTCTGGGCCATACATATTGTTTGCTCCAGACGGTGAAGTACCTGCATAGCTAGCATATACACGGCAGGCTCGGTCAAGCATACGTATGTGAGTTGTATTGGATTCACTCAAATACCTAGGAACACATAGCAGGGAGAGCAGGATGGGGATTATAGAACCCCCAGAATTGAATACAGCAAGCACACTCTGCCGTGCAATGACCATGCACCTTGAAGCGTACCTTTCCCGAGTCCCAGAACTTTGGCCGTTGATATTCCAACAGAACCTCTTCGCAGCATCCACAGGTACGGCCACAGCAACCCCCCCGATCAGCACACTTCCTCCGGTCTTCAACCCACTTAAACGTCCGGCCAGCGTCATTTCTATACCAGCGTGGGATCATAGCACGCTTGGCGCACAAACTTCTACTGTCTAAAAGTTTCTGCCTTATGGCCCCCAAGCGAGTCCTGTTCTTCGAAAACTCTTCGAGCAGCTTGGCCAGATCGCGTTCGAGATCCTCTGGAGATCTGTTCAAGTAGGGCGGTGGAACATCTTCTGTCTGCATCGCTTCATGGCAGGCACTGCACATCTCCTTCTGATACTGGCACTGCTTGCACCGTCGTCGCCGGAATTGCTGTTGCTGTTGTTGCGCCCCCGCCGTCTGTTTCTCATTCTCTAGACGACGCTGGCGCTGTAGAATGGCAAACCCCAGTGTTTCCTCTTCATTGTACTCGTTTAACCAGTTCTTTATTTGGTCTCTTGGGGTGTCATGGCCAATTTGGTAGTCAATATCCTCAAGACGTTTTCTGTAGTAGTATTCGCATCTGGGCTCTCCCCGAAGCCAGGACCAGAATCGCATCTTGGATGGTGAGGGTGATGAGTGATGAGTGGTTATTGTGATGAGGATGGTGGTAGTGATTTGAGATTAGCAGAAGTAATCTGGCAAAGCTGGAGAAAGGTCACGCAGCAGATATTTAAAGCTACTACACTTGATGATGATGTAGTAATGACTGGGAATTTGATGCGCACAGAGGTCATATATTAGCACATAGACTTATTTATTGACGAGTGAACAATTACAATGCGCTAATCTTTACCACTTTAATTTTTGTAGAGTATCTTCTTGTATTGACGTTGGCATGATTAGATAAAGTGGGTTGCGTTATTCTTGACATAGCTAATTTTACGCTTCAGCAAGTTCATTCCACGAGTGCTATAGACAACATTATCGAACATATAGGTATTGGAATTCTTTGTTGCTGTCATCAGCTGACACCGACACTGGACACCGACACTGCAATGTACCCTTTCTGGTGCTGTCGAATATCAACTATCCAATGCAATACGCGAGTAGGTGTAGCTGTCTGACCTTAAGTTGGTCTTACGGTGTTGAGACCAGGGGTCACTTTCCCGGCAAGTCAAGGTCCAGAAGAAAGTACGCAACTTACTTCAGTCATTCTAACTCAAGTTGAAAGCTTGGTACAACTGCTGTGCTTATACGAATACAGCATATAATTAGTTGATATTCTGTAAGTACACTAGTGCCCACAGTGGAGATTCCATGAATTGATTGCATTTTCGATCACATCCTTGAAGTAGGCTTGCTTGGCCTCTTGTTTCTGCGATATACCAGTCCGGTGTGAAATGGGTGTGCACATTTCCAAAGGTTTCTCAGGAAGCAAGTAAATCTCATCATCATCATCATCATCATCATCTGCTTGATCAGCTGGTTGCCAGCCTGCCGCGGCACACATTGCACCAAGCCGATGTAACGTCCACTGAAGATCAAGTAGATCTAGATCAGGTAGTGGAAACTTTTCGGGATCTGGGGTAGTAACAGTGATCCTATCTCCAGAGCAAATGATAGTATCGGTTTCATTATCGAAGAGCTTGAGATTGGAAGCGCCTATATTAGCGTGATGATATCGTCACGCGTGCGACCCAGAGCTTTAAACTCAAATTAGTAACAGTCAATAATACTTATAATATAAAATCTTACCTCAGGCAACTTAGATGCTACCATTCCGTCCGCAACAATGGAATCAAAATGGTAGCGACCGTACGAGGTTTGGCAGTATTTCTCTAGGACTTTCCCTAGTTCCTCGTGTTTCATAAGTGACATCACTCTGTTTACCCACTTCAACGTGATTCCGAGCAATTGTTGCATCCAGACTTTGGCGTTTTTGTCCATTGGCATGAGATATTGCTGTTCAACCTCCTGCATAAAATTAGGCCATTGTGCCCTTTTGGCACTGAGTAGGTTTTGAGAAGATTTGCAAGAAGAATCCTCGTATCAAGCTAATTTCTGTTCCCCTTGAACTATCTTCTCTCCCTATCCTACTCTTCTCGTTCTAAATGGTCTGAAAATGCATAACCGCTGGGAATGAGGCATAAGAATAAGGGCTTGGCAGTGTTGTGGTATGGGCATATACCTAGGTGGATGGGTATTATATCTCTATAGGGACGTTGCAAATCGCGATCACGAAGACCACGAGGAACAGCCACAAGAAGTGGCTGGGATCTAACTTAGCCAAAATATAAGTTTGGCGTCGGTATCTTCGGCTTCAGCCATACCTTTCAATAATGAAATGAAAAAAAAGCTCTATAATAGACGAGGTGGGAGAACGATTAGGATAAATCAGAGTGAATGATAAGTTGTGTGTACCAGAGTGATAGCCTTGTGGTAACTGAACCCTGACGCAATTCGCTCATGTTCAGTGGTCCAGAAATGATAAGAAATGGGATTTATAATATGTTATTATAAAGAGATATTCCACCGTTTTCCATCTGAATTGATGGCTTGCTCGATGGGACCATTATCATTCATTATGACCAAGGTGGTCTGAGTATCGTGGTAGGTTGAGTAAAATATCTCCAATATCCTGCAATGGCTTATCGCAAAAGAGTGGAAGTTCGAATTGCTTGTCAGGGCAACTTGATATCAGTGCAAGGAAAGTACCATAGTAATGATGGCTAGACCTAGACTCTCTACCAAGTCCATGTATCATCCGGTGTCTTCGAACGATCGCTCTTCGCGGCAGGACGGGTCAAACCCCAAAAATACCAGAATCTCGGAGTCCACGGTTTCTTCTCATCGCCTTCGTAGGCTAAAAACCATCCAACGAAGTAACTAGATTAAAGTCACACTGGTCAGTATGTAAAATCGAAAGAAGCAGACGAAGCCATTTCTAGTTGACTTACAGGGTTGAGGTCTGAGCGTGCCATACGAGATTCTGACCGCACCCAGGATCAGGGGCGAATCCCCAGTCATAAAGCTTCATGCGGCCTTCCTTGACCTTCTCGCGGATTGCGTCTCTCTCAGATCGCTCTTGTGTCCAAAAGACCTTGGAACCACAGGCATCTCCGAGCTGGATTCCAGGTACTATCTCCCACACAATGTACATCAGGAAGCCGCCTGGCACGGAACCACTTTCGTCTTGCTTGGCCACTCGTTCTTCTAAGAGACGCGGTACAATGAGAGGCCGCTTCTTTGGAAGTGACCTGTACACCTTTAGCTCAACGGGACACCACGACGTATTCGCTTGCCGAGCTCGCATCCTGGCCGACTCGGCTTCCGTGCCCCCGTTCATTATCTGCTTATAGATGCGCATATACGCCTTGGTGCGCGAACCTTTCTTCTCAACAAGAAGGCGTATGGCTGTCCAAGCGGGCCCAACCCTAGCGAGGTAGTCATCGTGGTCGTGTTGGAAGGTGTGCTCGCTCAAAGCCTCCTGAACGACCCATTCGTTATTTAGCTTTATCTTTGATCCTGGACCAATTTCTTCCTGGGAGAACCACTTTGAACGCTTGGTTGCTTTAGACTTATTCCAAGGCATCGTCAGAAAGGATTTCGAAGTATGACCTTGCTTTTCGCTATGAGAACACAATCTCTGCAACATATTATCTGTGGGACAGACTATAAGCATTTATTAGACTTGACACGATGCATCACCCAATTATGATACAGCCTTTCGGAAACTTAACTCAGGCGACAAACTTGTAAAGTTGAAATGGTAGCGGTTCATCAGTAGTATCTGCCGAAAGCCTCTAGTGGCCATGCAAGTTCCGACGGTAGGCATAATGACATAGTAAATAATAAGTTTACTATGTCACTCCCATAGCCGAGATCGAGTTATGAACTTATCATTAACCCCTCTTCACAACCAAGGGACGGTTTGGCAGCGGAGCAACTTTCAGAGCCGATAGGAGATGGTGTTAGCGAAAATATACTTGCTTCGAAAATCACGGCTGCAGAGAACCATTTCGCCATCCAAACCAGGGGAGTCGATTCAAGGAAGAAGATTGGGGATATTTCCTGTTCATTGATCAAAAGGAATGCGACGGCCTGCCAAGTCTTACCAACGCCTACAACATCAGCAATAATGGCTCCAACTAGCAAACCGAGTCTCATAATTTCGGCCACACGATTATACAGGCCGGCTGCCAAAATTTTAGCTCTTGCCCGCGCTGCATGCCCTTCATTCGGGGGTTCGCCTGATCAACAATACCCAGGTTCGCGCAGGCCTCCTCATGATTATCGAATTGATACTCCTGGACATCCAACCACTTTTCATGTATTGCAATCCTCTCATAGTCCTCCATGGTTGGATGGATGAGAATATCATTTGTATCCGCTCTGGTATCAAGTGACCACTGGTTATTCTCTGCAATCTCATATGCGCTTTACTCGAAAACGCGGTTGTCCAGCATTTTCGAGATATCTACTGCTCTCTTGGCCCGCTTGCGTTGTCTCGGTGTAGTATCGCCGGCATCTTCTACCGCTGAAGCAGATATACAGTGCCACCCTTCTCTCTAAGGTGTTGGGTGATTCTGAAGGCATTGTAGCTTCATGGCGGACCTTTAACGTGTGTTGGATCTACTTACCGATTTTCCGGGCTATCAATTTCCTTTTCCTTGTTACATTAGTATTTCGGTGGTCGGCATTCTTGGCGTTCTCTTTCTAAGAAACGATGACTTGTAGCGGCAACTCCAGCTTGCCTCACCCATGACATTGCGATTGAAGACGGGAGGATGAGATACAGGGGGTAATTGGGCGCATTACTTCTGAGCTTGTAGCCCAATCAGATGTGCAGTATATTCCGGTTGCTGCTAGTATCAGAAACGGTGGAGATCGTATGTATAGTCAGTCTTAGAGCCAGTGAAATCCCACAATGGGTGTCTTTGCGTTGTTTTATCAGTGACATCACTTAAGGGTTATGTTTCCCACTATCTGATATTTCGTGCATAGTGTGCATAGTAGAAGCCATAGACAGAAGGCCTAGATGATACCATTTCCTCTGCTTTCAAAATGATAGGCAGGCTTGCTTTAATCGTTAGATGTGCAAACAGAGGCTATGAAATCAACAGACGTGACTATTCATGGATTAGTATAAAGGCGGGGGGAATATCAGCTCCGATCTTATTAGTGGACCCAATCGGTAGCGCAGAGCCCTGCGTTCGGCGGATCATAATTCGCTGCAGTATTTTCCTCAAGCGATAAGAAATGGTATACGTGTCCTGTAACTCCTTATAAGGATGTGCTTGGTGACAAACTCCCGGCTGCAGAGCAACCGCTCGTCCTCTGTCCCAGGAGGGGCCTCAACAATCTGGCGTACACGGCTGCTGGTGAATATTTTAAAACGGAAAATTTACGATTGTATCTGGATCATTAAACGGGCGCATGTTACCGAGTATTCCGGGACAAGTAAAATGGGAACAACGTTAGACCACAATGGTCCAGTGGCGATAGCATAACATTGCGACGTACACTTCCCATTCCTCGCCTTTCACCATTATGGCATTATCAGTGGGAAATAGCATAAGCTATTACTGTTAGCATATTCCTTCTGATTTAAGTTAGAGAGATATTACATACAGACTTCTTCAGTTCTTCGTCTCTCCACTGGTTGTCATGTGCCACAATGTCCCAGAGTTCACAGAGGAAGTTGACTGTAGCAACATTCTTGTCTTCTTTGCTCAGCTCTGCATGTGGGCTGATATTGCCCTCTGGTAGTTCACAATTCACAAGGTGTTCTCTTACTTCGCTTGACCACTTAAATGTTATAGGACTGATTGTTCTCCATGACCTGAATTATCTCCAGTATTCTCAAAGATAAGTGGGTTTTGGAGTGTCCAGCTTTCTTACCCAGAGACAATGGAAAATGGTGTGCGACTTCGACTGTAATGGGATTAACCACCTTTTATAGAACGACATAACTTATTTCCTATTAGTAGAACTGGTTCTCCCCTATGTTTCTGAAGGGATAGTTTAACGGGATCATTTGCCAAATTTTCGGCAGCAGATATGGACCTCTACCAGTCTTCTAGTTCGCGATATATAGTATCATTATAAACAACATTGACACAGGGACTGGCGCTTGTGCCTAAATTAGGCTTGGAGATTTCGATATATCTTGTGGCTTTGGAAGGTGTTCCACTCTGGTAGAAAGACACGCGATTTAGAAAGATATATTGGTATAAGCGGCGCAGGACCTGTCTCAAACTTCCTGTCGAAGATCATATTATTGTAGTGGTCTTCCCGAGGCTATAAAGCTAATTCAGTACAGTACATACATATGCATGTTCAGTATCTCTCGTATGATCATAGTCATGACCTCATCAAGATGCTTAGTTGTTTATGTTATAGATGCAGCAAGGCCATGAAGATGAGGGTGTTGGATGAAGAGAAGAAGAAACGTCGAAGGGAAATGGCGGCATTTATATACCTCTTCGAGTACGGTGAATCTTCAGGCAGAGGTGATAGGGCTTCATTCCCACCCCTGCCTGATGATACTATTTTGCCAGTTCATGTTGATATTTATGTATTTGCCTTCACTACCTCTATCACTATCTTCCTTCACCCTGCATGGGATGGGAAAGGGGAATGCCTAGGATTGGGTTGCGTTTGATGCGAAAAGCCCTGGCTCTAATCGAGGGATGGAGGTTGGTGCAGATGCATAGGTCGGGATATCTGATTTTACCGTTAGCAAAGTGGCTCTTCAAAGTCACCTCCCCGCAATAGGCATTAAAATAATGATCTAAGTCTACCAAGGTCTGTTTAATTAGTAGCGGCTAGTCCAAACTTTTATGAGTATGTGGCTGTATGCATCTCAATCCGCCTTATACTTCTCCAACACCTCGTCCCCTTCATCATCCGACTCTCCCAATTCATTCAGAGCATCCAACGCAGCATCCAGCTCCTTCCCGTTCCCTAACTCATCCAAAACGAACAACAGATTCTTCGTCTTGACGATCGGCCCGTCTGTCATCTTGACTAGCATCGAAAGAGGTCTCGGTGCCATTACTGATCTCTCCACCTGCACATACAGCCCTATTCGTGACCCAGTGCCCGAGAGCGACGTAGAAGGCTGCGAGTCAGCCAACGCAAGCAGGCCATCACCCTCTTCTGCTGAAATACCCTGCGGAGGCTCGTCAGAAATCCTATAAACCAGCGTCATCCGAAGCCCGAGAGGCATTTCCTCGGCGACGACGACCTCTCTGGCCTCATGGTGAGAAGTTATGCTAGCTTTGCATTTTGTCCCGGAAGGGCCGGGACCGGAACCTGATGCTGGGCGAATCTGGATTTCCGTAGTGCTAGGACCGGTTTGGTTTTCGAAAAGAAGGTTTTCTGGATCGTTTGCTAATTGGGGCCAGAATATATGTGCTAGGGTAGAGTGGTTGTGGAGGATTTGTTGAACGTCTTCTAAGTTGAGGGTGGAGGGGATGTGGTAGTATGATGTCTTGGCGTACTTGGTGGAATAGAAGACTGATGGGCTGTTAAAAACAGGAACACTTTTTATGACCCACCGAAGCTAATAACTCGGGATGAGGGGGAGATCTGGGTGGATTGACTAACAGGAATTCATGGTGATGGCGGGGATGCCAGGTAACGGGGAATTTGGGCTAGCTTTAATTATGATATCAAGCTTCGATTTCTAATTTTCTAATTTCGGCGGAAGAGTCGGAAGCATTTCGGATGTGTGCGGTCAGATAGAGATGTATTTGGTAATTGCAGGTGATTGTTTAGAGGTCGGAAAAGGTATAGTAATTTGGAAAGAGGATGGAACAACGTTCCGTGAGACAGACGGCGGAGATGCAGTGACAGGCGGCTCTAACCGACTCAAGGAGTCCCCGCCAAGAGGAGGGGAGAGAAGCACATGAAGAAAGAATATGCAGTGAACCGTAGCAATGCAGACGACGAAGAGACGGCGACGGATTTCACTAGTCCGGTGGGTCTAAAAACTTTCCAGTTTAGCCTGGAATCGTCACATTTTCTTACAGACGTGCCGCCGTATACAACAGTCGCAAATTTCTCACTTTGATCTCATCTGCTGCTCTAGTCATAGTGACGAGATCCTCAGATATTTACATGGTGCGGGTCCAGTCGAGCTTCCGCATCTATATCAGTGACCTCCCAGTGGATGTCTGTTTTAAGCATAATACCATCGCCATCATGTAATGCATCTTGGCTCTCACCTAACCGGCTTTCGCTCATACGCTGGCGGGAGACTGCGCGGAATGGCGCGCTGAATCTTTTCGCATTGCTCTGTCCTGAGTAGGTTGGATTATGCGCGTAGGACTGGCCCAGCATTCCTGGGAGGTAGCGCTTCACAAAAACATATAATGCTGGAGTGGAGCCGCAGAATATGGCTACACGTATGGTGTTTTAGTCCTAGGCCTGACACGTCAGGCATGGAAAATGGTACGTACCGACGTAGGCTTCGATGCCACACCAGTTAAGCGAGGCAGCCAGCACGTATGTTTCATCTGGATTGTTGGCTAGTTGCAAGACGGTGTTGTATCTCACGCAAGCAGCTGCATTGGTTAATTGGGAAATGGTTGTAGAAGAAAAGAAAGAAAAAGAAAATAGGGTAGTGGAAAGGAGGGGGGAAAGCGGGAGAGGAAAGCAAAAGAAAGAGAGAGCGAGAACGAGTGGAAGGAGTGAGACCAAAGAGTGAGAGGAAAGAGAAACATCAATGACATGAACGGACAACGTACCAGCTATAGACAAAAGGCCTACACTAAAAACCCCCAATACTGCAATCTTCTTCCGCTGCAAGATGATGATCAGTAGGTAGCAAAAGAGTAGGGAAGAGTATCTTTGTACTTACCAAAGAGATACGAACACGCCATAGCATCGGAATGGGAACAGCCCAGATGAGAATATCCATGACAATGACGAGGATGCCATTAACTTCATAGAACTTCTGCTGGGACGCCGTTGACATGCAATGTCCTGACTTGGCCGAATTCCAGAATTTAGAAGGTGGTATGCAGGAGATTGTATCAACGAAGAAGCTTGAGATCGATACTCCCAGAACTATGAAGATAACGGAGTACACAAGCCATAGCATGAAACGTCGTGTTTCAAGCCGGAGATAGAACCATAGGAGAGATAGCTTGATGAAACACAATCCAAGCACGTAGAGGAGGCGTGTAGCCCATATACACTGATTATAGTCAGCAGGGCATACTCTTCCTAGTCCTGGGGTTATAACTTGGGAGCTACTACCACCACACCGGCCAGGCTGCCTCCATATACCAGTCTTCGCTCATGCCACACCTTCTGCCTAATGTAGAAGGCAAGGCTTGTTTTCTGTAGACACAGAAACACTTCACCTTCCCATCTATTTCAGATCCTGCTGGGGTCCCGATCTAGCAGCCGAATGACCAATATGATGCCTGAGACGCCATGTAGATGCCATAGGCAACGATCTTCGCACAGACGGCGACATACATAAAGTGGCAAGGTAGGGTAGGTGGAGGGTGTGGCATAAGCGAAGGCTAGTATGTGGAGGCAGCCTGGCTGGTGTGGCTGTAGCGTATCCCTATAACTTGCCTTGAACATAGGGACCCGATCTTCGATAGGAACATCTGAATCTTGATTTCACATTAGAAGGAGGTAAATTCAACAGAACTAGTAAACGGCGTACAGTGTTTGCCAACGCCATAATATGCGGCTGCCACGGTCAATAAGTCAATAACCCAAGTCTTTACGTGCCTGAACCTACCCACAATTGATGCGACGGAGAGACCATATGTTAAGATCTGGTTGAAAGGTCAACACCTGATGAAGCCTTGGGTTGTCGCTGTATGCTTACAGTTCCGATTACCATAAGGACTGCATGTCGGTTAGCGAATATGGGAGGACATGGGTACGGTATTCGGCTCACCGTCATCAGCTCCCCACGCGCGCAGCAAAAGTGTCCTGACGTAGACGCGAAGGGCAATTACAGCCGAGGTAAATGCCATAAATGCTACCCCAATCCCAAGCACCGTCGTTTGCTGCCCCGTGAAGGACGTACCCTTTTCCAGCGATCGTGGCAGCATCTCGAGACCTTGCAACGACAGCCAGTGCTCAAGAAGCCTCTCTCGCGATCGGAGTGCGACATTTCCTTATATCATATGTCGGCTTAGACCAACTTTAGAAGCAAGAGAAGCGGCCCATTACATTCGCCTAACTAACCAGGGTCATGCCGGTAGGATTAGTGTTCCAGACTTCTGTGGAGGAGGAGGTCGGATTGGCAGGAGTGCCTCAAGTTTTTGATTGGCCTATGTGAAGGAGTAAGTACAAGGATGTTGCCATGATGTCGCCAGCTACTCGGCCGGAAGGGAAAGGATCACCACTCCCAATAATACTGATTGCCTCGGAGTTCGGGTTGGACAGAAACAGCCATGCGCCGATTAGATGAAGTCAAGACAAGTCATAACCAATTAGGCAAGAGACATATCTAGCCTTGGGTCCCACAGTAAGCACGGGTGAATCGCATCGGGGGCTAAAGCAGGAGCAAGGAACTACAGTAAAACACGGTTATAAGCAATTATATGAGACACGCCACTAAATTGCTTATATCGAGGTCTTCCTTATATTGAATATTCTACCTAAAGTAGCCACGAATATCACTTTGTTGCGTGTTTGACATCTTTCTTCGAAGAATATCACGTTCCTGGCATACTAGCAAGTATAAAGATGCTAGATTAGCATCATTTTATTGTTCTTTGTACAAGCAGAGGTCATATAATGCCTGCAGGGCCCTGGTAGATGATATAAATGGTAGAGGCTCTACCATTTCATTATTCTCTTCGACCTCATCTTCAACTGCAGTGTACTGGCTTAGAATGATATTATTTAAATCAGTAATTGCATCATGAATCTGCTCTTCTAAGGGATTCAAGAACTGGTTGATATGCATGATATCTTGAATCCGTGCAGTATCCCGTAACTTCTGTAGACTAGTAGTCAAATCATGTAAAATAGCAGAGTCAGGCATAGGATTATAAGCATCATCTGAAAGCGCGCGTGTAAAGCAGTGGCAGATTGTATCATCTTTCAAATCAAGATTCCAGGCAGATATTGACCAACGGAGCACTTGCAAAAGATTCATTATAGTTATAGGATCATATTCCCAGTCATATTCAGTCATTATATAAACCAGCCATTGCCGTTTCTAGTAAGCCTTCCAGGTCCGGATAATGCCTTGATCAAGTGGTTGGTATTGTGATGTTGAATTAGGTGGCAGCTATATAACCAGAATATTTAATAACTGTGTTTTAACCTCTTCGTACGCAGCAAGATGAGATGAGAAATTATCATATAATAAAACAACCTGCCGGCCAGCTATTCTATGGTCAAACCAAAGAAGCTATTCTTTAAAGATTACAGTAGTTATCTAACTCTTTCAATTGCTTCGCTATTTGCAATCTAAATTCTCTAGATTTATACCTGCTGCTTGGAAGACTCGAGGCTTCTTTACTGTACTAATAAATTATAAAGGAAGACGCTCAGAGGCATCAGCATTGCAGCAGAAGTGTATACTGATACATGCCTTATCTTTCTTACGTCCGGAGATTGAACGCGTAGAAAGACCATGATCTGGAGGCATTCTCCAATATAAGCCAGTTTTATCACAGTTGAAGATATCACAAGGCGTGTAAACACATAGTATTTTGCGTATCAAGATTATCTGGTCTTTAGTATTACTTAATATTATCTTCCTGCCCTCTCTGTACTACTTAAAATTCTTGATATTCTTCCTATATTGGAAGCCTCGAAGCCAGCCGTTGCTGAATAATGGCATTATCTTATCAGGATAGAGAATCAGCCAGTATTACTTTGCTTTCTCGTGTATGACTTCTTGTGAGATAGTAATATAGGATTGTGCACGTTCAAGCCAGTTAATAACTGCTGCCTCTAGCTCTGGCCATAACTCTGTTCGACGTCGTTTATCCTTCAATCGGTGGTCGGGAATAGCATCAAGATAATTGAACTTGGAAGATAGGATACGGGATATGGAAGAGGGAGTAATCCGCTGGTTGTATATGGCTTCAAACCACTTGATAAGATTGATATTAGTGAGCTCAGGCTTCAACTAGTATTGAGCGCGTAGAGCAGCTTTTTGGCTGTTGGAAATGTAATATCATGTTTGTTTGGAGGTCTGCTTTGGCATGATTCCTGAATGATGACGTCCAAATTAGCTATTCCGAGCATCCAATATAGGCAATTTTGTATGGAGGAAGGTCAGGAACTTAGCAATTTGCTAGTAAGGGAGGATTAAGCAATTTTGTATGGTGTAGCAATTTGAACACGGTGGCCAGTTGCTTGTAATGGAGGATTCCTTATATCGGGTGTTGCTTATAACCGTGTTTTACTGTAGATGCACTTTTAGTTTAATTGTCGATGGATAGTTTAGTGGGAAGCCCACAACGGGTGGCTTGATCCCGGTCCTATAATGGGCCTAGCGCCCTGTCACGGGGCTTAGCTTCCTTTCCGGTCTGATGTCTCTCCCTTTTCTTATTCTTTCCATTTCTCTCTCATTTTACTCATTGCCTTCTCCGGGCCTAGCACTGGGCTTGGGTAAAACTGCAGTCTCAGATACTTACACAAGTTTTTCTCTGAAAGAAAGGGGCATGTCTGGTGACAACAGCTCTTTGTGGGCACATCTGGGAGGTCAGCCTACAATCTCGAAGGCTGCCATAAGGCCCAATGATTCTCGGCCGTGAACCTAAGAGCCCACATAATGAGAGCACCACTGGTCGCCGGGCATGAAGTGATTCCACATTATTAGCCAGCTGAGGCAACAGACCGGTTCGTTGCACTTAGTGGGGCAAAAGAACGGCCTCAAATTGGTGCGCACACGGGTGGATATGAACACCAATCTATGACAAACTAGGCATAGGAAACTTGGAAACAGTATCTGGCTATGGACAAACATGTGCACAGTCGATCCCATCATTAATCTAACTCAGAGGCCGGGCCACTTTCTGGTATCTATGTCAAAGCCTTGGAATCAGCGACTGATATGACGTGTTAGTTTTAGTTCTTCGAAACTATGTCCACTAAAAGGCTCCGTCCGGTGTTATAATTGCCCCCGTCTCTTAACAAAGCACTCTATAATAAAACGGGATCCAGTTATTACTGGATTTGGCATTTCGCCCATGGAAGAATGATGGGGGCGGGCATATGTCGCCCGCTGGATTAGGATGGCACGGCGGAGCGTACGACCAATCCCTTACGGCTCTGTCAACACTGACGGCGGGTCATTCTTGGTCTTCCTATTCCACCTAACACATACTCCTAATGATAAAAGGAGCGTGGAGGAGACCCCTTTCTTCCTCTCAAATTGAATTCCATTAAACCTTAAGCGTGGTTCACAATGGGCAGTATCTCTGGCGACAAAGTCGCTTTGGTTTTCGGCGCAAGTGGGATATCCGGCTGGGCTGTGACTAGAAGCCTGCTGGAATATCCAACTCAGAGCACTTTTTCACGGGTGATCGGCTTGACGCATCGGCCCCAAACGCGGGGACAACTAGGCCTCCCCGATGATCTGAGATTGGAGGTGTATTCAGGCATTAACCTACGGGGTAGCCTGGATGAAGTGATGACCCAAATGCATGAAACAATCCCGCAGTTAGATCAGATTACTCATGTATACTATCTCGGTAAGACATCAGTTATTGGCAGTTGACCGCATAGGGTATGGTCTACTAACATCTCAGCGTACTCCAATGCTACCGCATACACCGAGAATGTGATGGATATCAAGAGCATCAACGTTGCCATGACCTACAATGCTGTCCATGCCTGCGATACACTGTGTAAGAAAATGACCTTCTTCGTGCTGCAAACAGGTACCAATGTATGCTATACCCTGCAAATATCGAGTCAACAATAACCTAACTGAATAGTACTACGGCGTCGCGGTTTTTCAACACATCGACAAGCTCACCTTCAATACACCTCTGAGGGAAGACGCCCCGCGTGTTCCATTCCCATACGGTGACGAGATTTTCTACTATGGCCAGGTTGACTTGATCCGAGAAGCAGCTCAGGGGAAGAGCTGGGGCTGGTGTGAAGTTCGCCCAGACCAAATCATAGGTAGGGACACGCCTACCATGAGATACTAGGCTAAATTGTGCTAACAAGAGGATGCCCAGGCCATGTACCCAGCACCACAAGCATGACCACAGTTGAGCCAATAGCTCTCTACCTCTCACTTTACCGTTACGTGTACGGCCACGGAGCTACTGTTCCGTTTCCAGGCACGCCCACCAATTATGTCTACACATTCACAGATTCATCTCAAGACATAATCTCGCGAGCAGAGATCTATCTGTCTGTCGTGAAACCACATGAAGCGAATGGGGAAGCATTCAACATCGCAGACACGGCCACTCCAGGCCCATGGTGCGCCAAATGGCCTATCCTCGCGGAGTACTTCGGTCTGAAGGCCACAGGGCCAACGCAGGAGGACTACGCAGCGATCGACAAGTGGTGGTACGACCACCAGGACGACTACGATCGCATGTGCAAGGAGTACGGTCTACAAAAGCGGGATATCGGACCAGAAACCTGGCTCTTTGTTTACGCTGGGTTCAAACTATTGGATCGAAATCGTGAATTCAGTCTGGACAAGATCCGTAGCTTCAGCTTCATGGAGGAGAGGTCAGTAGGCAAGGGCCATCTCTTGGCGTTTGACCGTATGGCCAAGGTTGGGGTGATTCCAACTAGAACGCAGCTTTTGCCGTCGACTGGTGTGCAACCGAATTTGTAGTGCGAGCACACTTTATTTGATTTGCAGTGTAGGATATGCTATGAAATTCACGAAGTATCCGTTCTTCCGGAATTGGCTTCAGCCTTTTTACCTTTGATCATGATCATGTTGGCCTTCCAGGGGAAGTGTGGAAGATTGTATGCATACTTACTAGTTTAGCACTATATATATTGCGAGAGACGCCATCGCCACAACAGCCACTGGGTTGCCACCACACCAGCCTTCGCTCATATCGCACCCTCGGCCTATCTTAGAAGGCAAATATGATTCCAAATAAGGTAAGTCTCACTTCTGAGCCAGCAAAACTTCACCGTCCCCTCAAAGTAACCTCATTCGAATTTGATCCGAGGTCACGGCCTTATACCTCAGGCAGTAACAAAATGCCTCAGGCATAAAGCCATCCCTATCAAGGAAGCGGTAGGATTTCTGCACATTGTGAAAGCAAATTTGGCTTTACCTTTTAAGGAAGACCTCTGAGAACTACTACACCCACAACCTATCGTAATAATCTCAATACACGGTAAATTGCCCATTACAGATCGCAATGGTAGAAAGGCAGAGTGTAGTAGTATCAAGGGAGATGGTAGAGTTTCAACCATCCTTCGCCCCTGCGGTTAAAAACATACTACGCCGAGCCTCAACCCGAATGGAACGAAACGAGACAGGTGCATACGGGGGTTACTCATTCGAGGCCCCTGTATTCCGGAATACTCTATGAAGAATCAAGATTTCTTAAGTGTCGGGTGATATCTTACACATTTTCGATTTTCTATTTTGGCTTAACCAGACCATGTAGATATAATATACAGCATATATAGAGAAAAGTGACGTAATAGAAGAATAGGGAAAAGAACGTTGATCTAGAACCCGCCTCTCAATTCCGTCAACACAGCCTTCTGCCGTGGGGTACTCATCTTCTCGAACCGATCGACGCTCATCACAAAGGTACCGCGGCCGGCACTCAGACTGCGCAGGTGTTTCAAGTACCCGACCATTTCCTTGAGAGGTACCTTTGCAGTGATGGTTCTGGGTCGGTTGGCGGTGTCGGGGAGGGAGGCACCAATGGATCCAGATTCGAATGGGTCCGCGGGGGCGTAGACCTTCTTCGGGTCGATGGGTGGGAGGTCTTCAACCGGTTGGGGGGATGCGGAGAGATCGGTTGACGTGAGAGGGATTTCTTCGTCGAGGGAAACGATGTGGCCGCCGCGAGAGGAAGAAATGTCGTGTACGACGGCTCCGAGACTGGCTTCGTCGATGCTGATGATCACATTCATGACGGGCTCCATCAGGGAGGTGCCTGGGCCGGAGGAGAGGAGGTCGCGGAGAGCGGCGGAGGTGGCCAGACGGGCTGCGGAGGAGAGAGCTGCTGGGGTGGTGTCGGTGCCGAAGAGGTGTTCGGTTGGGTTGATGGTGAGGGTGACGCGGGTGTGGTGCATAGGGAAAGCGAACTGAGGGCCGCGAGCAAGGGCAGCTAGGCAGCCATTTTGGAGGGAGGCCCGGAAGGAGTGTACGTCTAGGCCTGCGGGAAGTATGGGGCTTTCCTCGACGCCTTTACGGCTGGTTTCGACCTGCAGTTCTGGGGCAAGGATGATGATCTGGTTGCCTTCTTTGGTTTCGACTGAAAGTGCGTCTTCGGGTACGGGAGGTGCGTTGTCCGGGTCGAAAGGTTCCACTACTGCCGTGCAGCCGGCTTTGCCTTTGCGGCCGGCGATCTCCTTGTCGAAGATTTTGCTGGTGACAGGTGACTCTCCAAGCGGACATTCACGGTAGCCGATTTCAATGCGGCCCATTGTAGCCTTCGCTTTCAGGTCGTTGATGAGGCGGTCTCGGGCGATTTCGAGATGGAGCTCTCCCATGCCGCTTAGAAGCGTTTGCCCGGAGTCTTCATCAACAGTGACGTGGAGACTAGGGTCTTCACGTAGGAGTAGGGCCAGGCATTCATGGATCTTCTTCTCCTCACTCAGGCTGTGGGGCTCGATACTGGCGAAGAAAACGGGAGGCGGCACCTGGATAGGACGTAGTTGGAGGGTGTCAAGTGGTTCGGGTGGCGTTAATTTGTTGCCTGCATATGACACCAGTGTATCTCCGGTTCGAGCATGCTTCAGGCCAGCCACAACGCCGATATGTCCCTCGGGGATGGAATCCACCTCGACAGCGTCATTAGCGTACATCTTGAGCAGGCGCGGTGCACGTTCAGTGATATTGAGATTAGTGTTGAATATAGCACTGTTTCGGTCCAGGGAGCCTGAGTAAACGCGCACATAAACCAAGACTCCCCGCTTGGCATCGTTAACCACCTTAAAAGCAAGCGCGCAGCTCTGAAGCTTCTCAATAGCATTTTGGGATTCGGCTTGAGTGACGGACTTCTTCTTTTTCTGCTTCCCTTTGGATGTGGCTGCTTTTTCGCTTTGCTTGACTAATAGATCGCCGGAGAGTAGACTCCGAAGACCTCCGCTGACGCCTCCGATGCTAATCTCTGGATCAGGGGTTTCGAGGGGACTGGGAAGAAGATTTGTGACGGCGTCCAGGAGAGGCTGCACACCAATGTTGCGGAAGCTAGCACCTGCGAAAGTAGGGATGATCTTTCTACCCTGTTCTTGCAAAAGACACCGGCGTAAGCTGTCCAGGATGTCGTTGGGAGGGACTGCGAGGTGATCTTCGTCATGTTCAAAGAACCTCTCGATCATAGTCTCATCATGCTCGCTAAGTAGCTCAACAAGTGCTGTCCTTGCGCGTCGAATCTCCTGTGCAAGCCCTGGTTCCTCGCCATCCAACTCTTGCAGGTTGAACATTTTGACGGCTTTACCGTCACCATCTTGCCATCGGAGACCCTGCAAATTAATCACATCGCCAACTCCAACAAAGCGGCCATTTCCGCCCTCGAACCACGGGATCTGGCAGACAGCGGGGTAGCCCGCAAGCCGGGAGCTTATCTCTCTTACCGTACGCCCAAAAGCTGCACCGTCTCTATCCAGCTTGTTGATGTAGACAATCCTGGGAATACGATATGTGCTTGCTTGGTGCCATACTCGTTCCGTTTGAGCTTCGACGCCAGCGACGCCGTCCAGAATACACACCGCCCCGTCTAGAATGCGCAGAGAACGCATAACCTCAAAGGTAAAGTCCGCATGCCCAGGAGTGTCAATTAGGTTTACTGTATGAGATGTGGCAGACCTTGGGGCTTTGGGATTATCCTGAGCGGCTGCAATCTGATCACCAGCTGCTTGAGGCGGCCAATGGAAAGTGATGGCAGCAGATTGGATGGTGATCCCGCGAGCGCGTTCCGCAGGGAGAAAGTCTGTGACGGTGGACCCTTCATCCACATCTCCAATTCTTCGGGTAAAGCCACTGTAGTAGAGCATGCGTTCAGTGGTCGTTGTTTTACCGGCATCAATATGTGCAATGATGCCTATATTTCTAGTTCGGTCAAGGGTGTCTGCCTGTAATTTGGATGCAGACGATGAGAGCAACTGGATCCTAGGAAATTGCCCCTTCTTGGCCCCTGGAATCAAGGACGCATTACATCCCAGACGGCTGGTAGCTGCCTGGCATTGTCGTAGGCCAGTTGGCCGCACCGTCTGGTGAGAGGCGCGTAAGAAAAGAGCTGTAACCATTGGGACGGAAACTGTCTATATAATCGGAGACAACAAATTGGCGTGATCCGGGACCTAGAACTTGACAAACATCGTCAAAGACAACTAGAAATAAAAACAATTTGTAGAAAAGAGAAAGGTCCAGCCCTTCAAAGGGTAGTGTGTGCGGAGGAACTGGGAGTATGAATGAAGCTGCTGAAGCTTTTCCGGCAGTCCAGTGACCGGGGCTGCAGATGCCTGGCCAATCAGGCTGCACAGGCACCAACGACGTAACCTCCGAAGTCCATTCCGTTCCGCTCAGTTGAACAGTTTCCCCTCCCCCATCTCAACGCTTGCATCGGCCTTTCCTTTGTCAAGCCCGAATTCTTGAGAGTTTCCGGCATCATCCTATTCCCAATCGTTTTTTTGAGTACCAATAGGTGAACACCAATTGATCCGCAACGATAACCATACCAGATGAGACAATACTGATGATTGCGCGCCCGCAGCGCGGTGTAGACGTGGTCCCATTAGACCAAGACAGCCACGATGGACTACTCCGCCATATCACACGATCCTGATCATCCCGCGGGTACTTCTCCTTGGGCTTCACCACGCCCGACACAAACAACCTTTCCGGCTTCCGTGGCTAGCGACATCCCCCCTGCCCCCTTGCCTCCCCAAGATCCCTACAATGCCGAATCGCAGCCTACCGAAGTTCCTGGGTTCCAGGAGAACGAGATTGGATCGCCTGACTTGTCCGCGCGACTGCAGGGTGCACACCTGGGTGAGCCCGGCTATGCTGATGAGCAGTCGCAACAATCTCCGCAGCAGCATGGACAACAACCTCGTTCTCAGCTCCCCGCCCGCTACCAAACGGGCCCAAGACAGAATCCCAGACAACCTGCACCTGTGTATAGGATCCAGGCGAAAGTTACGGGGCTAGAAAGAACGGGCAAGAAGGACCCTATTCTTCGATTCGATGTTCACGTGAGTGGTGCCCTTCTTTGTCTCGCCCTGCGCCTACTGACAACAGGCTCCAGACGAATATCCCCAAATTCAGGACAACGCAGTATCGAGACGTTCGTCGTACCCATGCCGAGTTTGTCAAGCTTGCGGACCATCTGATTTCGGCTAATCCGGAAGCGTTGGTCCCCGCGGTCCCTCCACCACTTACCCCTGCCGGCGCTGGAACCGAAGAGGATGAACACAGAGTCAAGTCGTCTATGCAGCGGTGGCTGAATGTCGTACTGAGCAATGAAGTTCTCACCCATGATGACGAGGTTGTCCTGTTTGTCGAGAGTGATTTCGGTTACAGTCCTGTGGTTCGGATGAAACAGCCCGCAACTGGGGTTCGAAGGAAGGTCCTGAAGCAGTTTGCGCCGCCCCCCGATGACACGCCTGAATTACAAAATGCGCGTCCGACTGTGAAGATGTTTTATCTAGGAACAATGGATACTAGTCACAAGGTTGACCGTGTCGTCAAGGCTCGTCGAGGTATGCGCTATGACGGCTCATATTTTATTATCAAGGGTACTAACATTTAGCTATCCAGGACTCGGTCTCGCAGAATCGGACTTTGGTGTTAAGCTAGGCCAGATGCACGTGCAAGAGACACACCCTGGACTGTCCAATGCATACCGGAAATTGGGGAAGATCATCCAAACCGTCGGAGATTTCCATGCCGTCCAAGCGACTGCGGAGGCCACAACACTGGGGGATCCTCTAAGCTACCACTCGTCCGATGCCTTAATCGTCAAGGAGACTCTTACCAACCGCCACATCCTCCTTCGTGAATTGATCCAAGCTCAACAGGCCACACGTAGCAAACGCGCCGCCGCTGACCGCCTCAAAGTCAGTTCCTCCGTCCGCCCGGACAAGGTGGACGAGGCTATCAATGCCCTGGACGAGGCCCAAGGCCACGAGGACTACCTCACAAAGCGGACGCAGCGGGTCACATCGAACTTACTCGCTGAGAAGCAACGGTGGTTTGACCGGACAACTAACGACATGCTGAACAGCCTCCGCGAGTATACCCTGCGCCAGATTGAATCCGAACGGAGGACCCTTGCTACCTTGGAGAGTGTGCGACCTGACATTCGAGCAATTGACGCTTCGGGAGGACTTAGCCGTCTAGGACGTGAATCCCACCCAACTGCTCGTCGACCTAATCTTGGTTCAAGCCAAGGCCCCAAGGGAGATGCTTGGAGCGGCATACCGCGTCGCAGCGACAGCCTCGGCCGGAGCCTCAGTGGCAGCTTTGTTGCACCGACACCCACTGAAGATGACGAGGAGGTCAATGGACAGGGCACTGGGAAGGGGCGTCTGCGCTCTGCCAGTGGTGTGAGTTCGATTGTGGAGGAAGACGACGATGATCGCCTTGACGCTCGTAACGCTGCTAGTCGCCTGGCCACGAGCACTTTCTGAGCAACTGTAGATTATAGGCATGATTCTTGTGCAAGATTCCCCTTTGATGCCGGTTTTCTATTGAAATAAGCCCACCTTTGAGTTTCGCAATCCAGCCACTATGCTTTGCCTTGCCTTTTTATGTTGTACCATGCCCTTGAAGTTTGTATCGGTTCAAGAAGAGTATATGTACGTCTACCTTATGCAAACAATCCGTAGCCTCTCAGATATACTTTTATATCGGCACCCCGGTTCCTTGAGTGGCAGATGTGAACCACGTTGTCAAATGCGACCCAAGTAATGTACCAGTGAGGTGTCTATGTGCAATGGTCCGAGAAATAGCCAGTTGTTGAATTCATTGGGCTTCAGCCCCGCCCATGTACGTCATGAGGGGTAGCTGGGGTACATACTTTAGTAGAGTATCCATCCCCACGACACAATATCAGGATCAATGTAGTAATAGGATACCGTGAAAAGGGTTTGTGTCATGTTAAGTTTATAGGTTCATGCCGAAAGTTCATTCTGTGGAACCAGAAATATACTCCGAGCCATCCATTCCAGTAAAGACTGGAAGCACAAGGAAAGCCCGCAATTGATGGGGATAGCTACTACTTCTTGGTACCCCCACCCCCACTTTTGCCCAGGTCTGAAACTTCTGATTGATTCTTGCACCTGCGAGGATCCATCTTGCCCACTCTTGATTTCAAAGCATGGCGGAGCTTAAGCTGGAACTGGCAGTTGGTCTCTCTTTGTTTTGATCAAGCTATAAAAAGTCGAGCTCCCCTCCCCCACTTCTAGTAGCACTCTTTCCCCAGCAATCCCTTATCCATTCTCATACCAACCTTCTTACGAACACGACGACAAGATGGCTCCCCAAAAGATTTTCCTGTAGGTTTCCGCTTATCTTTTCACAGATGTTAGTACACTTGTTGACCGCTGCTTCTCGTATATTGCAGCACCGGTGTTACTGGATACATCGGTGGAGACACCTTTTACGACGTCTACCAGGCTCATCCTGACTGGCAGTACTCCGTCTTGGTGCGCAACAAGGACAAAGCCGCTCAAGTCACCAGCAAGTACCCCAACGTAAGGATTGTACTGGGTGACCTTGACTCCGCCGATATCATCGAGGAGGAAGTCAAGAACGCTGACATCGTACTCCGTATGTTCTCCGAGTCCCTGCTCACGTGCTCTTCTGTAATTTGAATGTATAACTCACGGGCCATGGTTAGACTGTGCCGACTGTGATCATGTCGCTGCCGCCGAAGCCATCGCGAAGGGTGCCACTCACCACACCCCTGACCGACCAGTGTGGTGGATCCACACTTCTGGAACCGGCATCTTGACCGTGGAGGACTTCCGTAGCAACACATGGGGTCTGGAACGTGCCAAGCAGCATGATGACTGGGATGGTGTGGATGAGCTTCTCAACCTTCCTGCCGATTCGTTCCACCGCAATGTCGATGAGATTGTCATCAATGCTGGCAAGCGTGCTCCCGACAGTGTCAAGATTGCCATCGTCTGTCCCCCTACCATCTACGGACCGGGTCGTGGACCCTGCAACCAGAAGAGTGTGCAGGCATACTGGCTGGCTTCTGCTGTCCTGAAGCGCAAGAAGGGTCTGCAGGTCGGTGAGGGTAAGAACATCTGGCACCAGATCAACGTGCAGGATCTGAGTGATCTTTATCTTCTGCTGAGTGAGGCTGCTGCTGCGGGCGGTGGCAAGGCCACTTGGAACGACAAGGGTTACTACTTGGCAGAGAACGGTCCTTTCTGCTGGGGTGACATCCAGAAGCAGGTGGCCCAGGTGGCTTATGAAAAGAAGCTTATCCCGTCCCCTGAGGTTGAGCCCTTGACCGACGAACAGGTTACTGAGATCAACCAGTTTGGCCTGTATGCCTGGGGTAGCAGCTCTCGCGGTACTTCCTACCGTGGTAGAAAGCTATTGGGTTGGAACCCCCACCGCCCAAGTCTGCAGGAGCTTATTCCTGACATCGTTGACATTGAGGCCAAGGCTTTGGGCTTGCTGTGAGGGAGCTCGGAAGTTTATGTAGCCAACTACGACGTATTGATATAACGAATGACACGATAATGTTCAAAATGCGATATGGATTTTGTAAGGTGTGAACCATCGCCATTGAAGCGATAGATTCTACTTCAACACCGAGTGATATATTGGTCGTAACAAGTAGCAAATATTAATGAGTTTTGTGAACGAAGGAAAATGCCTTAGGCGGGTAACACCGAAAAAGCCTAGCGCGGAGCTCTCGAGACTAAGCGATCAAGGCGCGACACCCGCCCGTAGACGCCGCCGCCTTTACTGCTACCCGTGCATTCACTGCCATTACGTTCTCTGATCCGACCCGCGATCTTTGTGTCTTCCCCAGGCATCATTCTTTCCCTCCTTCCGCCGTATGAGTTTTCCACAGCAGGTTGTTTCCAATAGTCCCCTAAACCGCGTTCCATCGATTTCTCCGACCGATTGCGGCTCTGTGGTCCCACGTGAAGGAAGCTGACCCTCGGAAATCTAGGTTCGCCGCATGAATTGCGACCTGTCGGGAACACATCGGTTTTCTATCCGCGCACTTTAGCTCCAATCGGGCTGCCATGGCTCCAGGTGCCGGAGGAAAGAGAAAGAGAGGTGATAGATCGTGGTCTGGCGATTCAGGGAACGACGGTCAACGGCCATCGCCCCATCGACCGGGCAATCTCAACATGTCGCAACACAACTACGGTCCGCAATCTCGCGATTACTCTGACGCGCGTGGTCGATTACGAAGGCAACCCAGTCGGGGCGGAAGGAATAGCATGGGTCGAAGGCCCAGCACCGATGGTCAGAACCCTCCTGCCGGTCGGAGGGATAATGCCATGTCCCCGCCCAGCACAACTCCCGCGAAAGACGTCTCAGAACAAAGCCAGGCAAACGGCGTGCCTTCAACAACAGATCACCAGAAGCCCCCTCCATCGCCTTCTCTTTCCTCGTCACAACCACCGTCACACATCAATCCATCTCCCGCGCCTACCCCCACGCCGGCACCTGCGCCGCTAGCTCAGGCGTCGGCTCCTCAGCCTCCTGCCGGGCCCCCGCCACCCTACGACTACGAATATGTTACACAGAACGCCATCGACGAGTGGGCGACGACTGGAAAGAAGGATCTTGTGGAAAAGGGTATCGAAGTGAGAGACGCACAAGATGCCGCCGCACTTGCTTCGATATACCAGGAACTCATTCGGTCCGCCCTACACGGTCGTCTGCCACCGGAGGAAGCTGGAGCTGCAGTTAGGGATGTCATTGGCGAAGACGTTGCCGCTGAGGATGTTGATATGCAGAATGAAGGACAAGACCAAGCCATCCTCGATACTCGCTCCTTATTCCTGGACACTTTATCTATCCTCACCGATTCCGACACTTCTAACAGTGCCCTGAGACCGCTCGTGTTCTCTACGAAGATCCACCCCGCTCTCATGCGCCTCCAACTCGACACTCAACTCCTTCAATCCCTAGGACTTGTCCGAGAAACGTTCACACGCATGGGTATTCGCAAGCAGACGAACCTCCTCTATCGGCAATCGAACTACAACCTTCTGCGGGAAGAGTCCGAAGGATACTCAAAATTGCTTACAGAGCTGTTTACGACAAGTAACAATGAGCCCCCCTCCAGCGAAGTTGTCGAGGACACATTTGAGAAGGTGAAGGCGATGATTGGCGCGTTTGATATGGATGTAGGCCGTGTCCTTGATGTTACTCTCGATGTTTTTGCTGCTGTTCTTGTAAAGCAGTACCGCTTCTTCGTGAAGCTTCTGCGGGCTAGCTCCTGGTGGCCGAAAGAGGATGCCTTCCGCACAGTCGATGCGGGTAACCGTGATTCTGGTCTACCCAACTGGGCCCTGCCCGGGTCTTCTGGGTGGGTAACTACCGATGAGGAACGTCTCGAAGCAATGGAAGCGAACGAGCAACGAGATCACGAGTTCTGGAATAGAGTCAGAGAAATCGGAATCCGTGCTTTCTTTGAAATCGGTCGCCGGCCTGTGTCCAAAGAAGAGCTACAGCGGATTCTCCCGGAAAGCAACAGTCTCTCGGAAGAGGAAAAGGAGGTGCGGAAATGGATCGAGGAAACCGGAACACTACCTCCCAAGGGAAGTCGAGTAGCAGCACAGTTACTTGGTTTCAAGCTTCGGTTCTATTCCTCCCGCGCTCGCGCTAAGTCTGATGTTCTTCCGGACAACCTCATTTATCTTGCGGCTCTATTGATTAAAGTTGGTTTCATTTCGCTACGTGACCTGTATCCGCACCTTTGGAGGCCGGATGACTCCATGGATGCTCTCAAGGAAGAGAAGCTGAAGGAGAAGGCTGATCGCGAACGGGCAGCACGGCCTGGTGGTGGCATCAATGCCTTGATGATGGCTGGTGCTCTTTCAGACGACACCCTACCTATCCCACGCATTCGTGAGTCTGAGACGCGATCAGCGACTCCTGGAAAAGACCAGGAAACAGACAAATCTACAGGCGTGAAGGCGGAGGAGGACGAGCTTCCTGAGCCTTCTGACCAGAAAGTGATGCTTCTCAAGAGCCTACTCGCCATTGGAGCTCTCCCCGAGTCTCTTTTCATCCTGAGCAAATTCCCCTGGCTTATGGATGTCTATCCCGAACTCCCTGAATTCATTCACCGCATCCTGCACCACTGTCTTGGCAAGGTCTATTCTTCATTACGCCCATTGCCCTCGGTGGACGTGCTCAAAGACCAAAAGCAAATACTCAATCATGACCAGTCTGGCGTGCCAAAGGGACAAATACGACTGACGCAGGCGCCACCACGCCGAGTTCTTCGGTGGGCTCAGCTCGATAAAGAAGATACGAACGATGGAACTGACTACAGGTTTTATTGGGATGATTGGGCGGATAATGTTCCCATTTGCCAGACTGTTGACGACGTCTTCGCATTGTGTTCATCATTCCTTAATCTGTCCGGTCATAAAATCGGCCAAGATCCAGGCCTACTAACAAAAATTGCAAGGATCGGAAAGCACAGCATGAGCAAAGATCACTCGCCAGAGAACAGAGCTCGTTGGCAGGATCTTTGCAAACGACTCCTGGTTCCGTCGATCAGTCTTACGAAGGCGAATCCCGGTGTGGTGAATGAGATCTTCGACCTTATCAGCTTCTTCCCTAGAGAGATACGGTACAACATGTATGCCGAGTGGAATTCCGGCCAGACGTCCAGACTTCCTGACATCAAGTCGGCATTTGATCAGGCGAAGGCGGAAAC